GATTAGAGCAAAAATTTGCATATCTAGGTAAAAAGGAAATAACAGCTTCACATCTTTTATTCGGTTTACATGCTTACCTTGCAGACGTGAAAAAAACTAGGCTCATTCTTGTGATAGCCCCATGCCCTTTATGGGCCTTGGTCACGAAGACAACATCGAGCTCGGATTTCTTAATCGTGACTCTGCTGAAGCGCTTTTCGGGGTCACGCAAATCAGGTGCGAGTGCAAACTGGGAACCAACTGATTTCAAAATGGCCGAAGTGATGGAACTTATGCGAAAGTATTTTACCAGTCCTAGTATGTTGAAAAGGTGATCGAAAATTCTACCGAGGTCTACTGGAGCTTGATAGCTCTGTAAAATATGGCAGGTATGTCAAATTTGAAGGACGACGACAGTTCCAGTTTTTATACTACCCCTGGCGATGACGTCTTCCATTTTTCGAATCTCTCCCCAAGTCATATGTCCATACTTGAAGAGAGCGGACCATTTGTTGCTCTAGTATTGTCCTGTTGGGATAATTTGTTGGGGCCGAGACTGCAACATGTGTGGAGAGGAAATGGAGACACGGAGTCCCAGGTAAAATTAGACATTGATGAGTCGATGCAATTACAAATTATCGTCTTGGCCAAAAGTTTGAGCAAAAGACGCAAGTGTTTATGTGTAGACCCTCCTTGATCTGCATGGTAATTCTTCTATCTGGCTGCTGAGCCTTTTCCTCAAACAACTTTTCAGAGAAGTTTGTGTTACAATACGATTTCACCCTCAAGTCGATCAGTTCGAATGCCTCTTCGTATTTGTTTGCAGACAAATTGTATCAATCCTGGATCCCAAGATCTCATTAGTATTTCTCTTAACTGTCCTCTAAACATCTCTTGTGATGTTAGTTCTGAGAATTTAGTATTGGATCAAGCAATAATCCCCTGATTGATTTTTTTCTTAATTCTCCTCACTTGTCTGCTTGAAATTATGTGGATGTTGAAAGGAGAATTTTTTTATTGGTCACTCCTGTGAGCCAAAGGGTTAAGATGTGATACAATTTTGTTAAATTCAACAATATCCACTAACTGAAGGTTTAAAGCTAGAGTAAGTGTTGTAAATGGTGTTGGTTGATTGGCATGGGTTCAAAGAGCTTGTATTTTAACAAGGTGCCTTTTTTTGGACAGGAAAATAGTGTCAAGTATGTGGTTGGCCGAACTGTCCATGGAGAACTCTTGCGGGATGCTCCTGAGAATGTGGTGGACACAAAACTATTTGTGCTGAAGGACCACGGCATTGTGTGCCATTCATTTATTTTCTCAGGCTGTGACAAGTCAGGCACCAACCTCTCTGGTCTTTCGCTCATCATTCCATTCTCAGAATTTAAAAATTACTTGCCACTATTGGAGTTGGTGGAGGAGCGAGTAAAGATTCTTATCGCAAAGTTGAGAGTCTTACAAGCCAAGGTAATGTTACTTTACTGATGTCACATTTTCAGTGTCGGTTAAGTTTTAAATTTGCTTGTCAGGGGTGATGCAGTAGAATTAAAAACTTGTCTGAAAAGCATGAAAAAAACAAATTGTAAGCCTTGCATTATGCTTAATTTTTTTTTAATTACATGTAACTGTTGTGCCATACTTTGGAACTAATTCATGCCAAATCAGGTTGTCACTAAGCTTCAGCTGTCCACAAAATCACTGGATGAAAAAAGTGGCGAGATCTAACTGAATTTTTGGTTGGTGATTGCCTGCTAAACCACATTGTGTACTTCTGAGGTTATATTCGCACAGAAAGCTGTTGGATTTGAATGTTATCTTTGAGCTGCCTCACTTAAAATTTCAGGCCCCAGCCTACAACATCCTGTACCTTCTCAGCTTCAACCCCTGCTTAAATGTTCATAAGTCCCTTTAGTGAACTTAAATTTCATCAAAGGCATACCGGTGTATGTCTCAAGGTCATATTACTTCTCATTTAATTAATTCTTCCCTGTATTAAACAGGACTTGGCATCTTCCCTGTCTGTATTCAGCAAGTATCTACCTCGCTTTATCCAGACCATCACAAGTCTGAAAACAGCCGGCATCCCTGACTCCATTCCAGTGAGTTTTCAGTCTATAGATTAAAAGTAAAGATTATGGAATGATCATCAGTTTGAAGAAGACCTAAAACCATGGCTAAATGAGGTGACACTCAGGGCTCAACACTCACTTCTCAACTTACTAGCCAAGTGGCTAGTGATGTAGTGACATCTTAGATGTTAAGACAATTTCAGTTGGTTTACTAGTCAAAGTGGCTAGTGGAAATAAAAAACCACTAGCCAAAACTGAATTTCTACTAGTTGATGGCTAGTGGCTACTGTTAGTGTCAAGCCCTGACACCACTTTGATCTCTTGCAAGCAACTACAGCTGTATAGAAGCCACATATAGAGATCAGTAATATCATTTCTTCCTTGTTATATGGCCCTTTACATGCACAGTCCCATAGAAGACCATTATGAAAGCTAATGTCAGTGTGTAACCATAGAGCCAAAGAGGTTGACATGAACTGGTCTGGAAAAAGCCTTCCAGTTCTTACCTACATGGCCTTTAAGTCACATGCAGCCTGCATATCACGACCTCAAGCCATTTATTTTCCTCTTAGGCCCTCCCACTTGTTCAGTAAGTATGTAATTTATCGCATGTTAGGAAAACTGGACAAATTCTTTGCTTCTTGAGCCACTATTGCTAATTTAGTAGTTCTGTCAAGGATATTTGAGATCAAAACAGACCCAGAAACTTCTATGATGTTTTGTTTTAAAACATCTGCCAAGCAATTGTCTAAAACTATCTCTTGATTATCATAATACCATTTATGTGAGGGATTTTGCTCTTGACATTATTTTATATTTCTAATTTTACTCTATGATTTAGTTGAGTGAGACTTCCTTTGGCCCAGGACAAGCAAACAGTCTAGATGATCACTTCCTCAGAAGGTGCTGAACATAATCACTACTTTTGTTTTGTTTGTCTGTTGTCTTCTTATAGTCAATCACTTTTTTTAGCTAGTATTCTACACAGTGTATATAATCCAAAAAAATATTTTTGCTGGGGTGCAATTGGTCAATAATTAAAACACATCACATGACCATATATCCCCCAATGAAAACTGGGGGATATTGGAGGGTATACCCGAAGTGATATTCCAGGCTATTTTTCAAACCGTATGTCCTATAAATGGAAAACTCTGCACTTTTAAAAAACTTAATTCCAAATGAGGAACATTGTTTGTTTTTAACTGAAGGAGGAACAAGTTTTTTTTGTTCATAAAATCTTAACAGAAAACATTGAAAAGTGAACATCCCTTGCTTTAAATAGTAACCTGTTTGTAAACATTTTTCCCTTGCATTGAAAAATATTTGAAGGATAAAAACAGTATGATATCTTTGCATATATTCAGGCCAAATGGAGGCTATTGTTTATCTATAGGGTCTCCCCCCTACTTCCCACATCTTTGCTCAGGCTTTTGCTGTTTCTTTGTATCCTATCAAATTGAAATATTGTAAATTGGTTAACCATTGTGAATTTTCAACATTTGGGGAACTTTTGATTCTCTTTTTCCTCTGATCAGAGAACTCTTATTGAAACATAAATCATAACCTGCAGTGCAGGTGCAATTTCGGTGGACAAGTGCTTGGTGAAAATTTTAGCTGCCATCTGTGATTTTTACACTGCTGAAGGCTGGGGAGAGAAAGAAATTTGTGCTAAGTGACGGTTGAAAAGAAGCAGAGGGGAGGGGGTGGGGCAATGAATATCACTTTTTTTACATTTCCCCTCCCTCCTCCCCCACCGTTAACTCTTACTTCAAATCAAACATGGCCCGTTGAATAAACGATCGCGAACGTCTTAAATCATGAATGAGCTATCAAAATTTGCCACAAGCATACATGCATGTCGAGTTGTTTCAGGGGAATCGTGCATTCGGGGCTGAAGTTGGGGTATACGGTCTTGCATACATTTAAGAGGTAGACAGGTTTTTTAAACTTTTTCTGTGCTCTGAAGTACGGGAAATAATGTAAGTGTTATTGAATGCTTTTCTTAACTGCACTTGTCTGTTTTGTTTTGGCAGAGTCATCACGTCTCACTTGCAAACATTTGGAAGTACTCTAGTAGTAGGGAAAGCCTTGGACAAAGTCAACTTGGTAAGCTACGGATTTGTTACTTTGTACAAGTTTTTAATATTGCAATTTTTCAATAGCACATGAAGTGGATATTAGTTTTTTGTAGGTCCTTTCATGATGAACCACAGTACTTAGTTCTTATTAATCGAGCGGGAGCTCTGTATGGGAGAATCTTGACCGAGTTCAAGATTCTCCCATACAGACCAACCTAACTTGGCTAATAAGTTGTTTAACTATGCTTTGTCTTATATGCCAATTTTTTATTTTCTTTGTACATGTATTACCTTTTTTTTCTAGACCGGTCTAGATACCGGTCTAGATGGGAAAATCTAGACCGCTTTCAATATTGATTTCAGCCAATCAAATTCGTGAATTGATGGTAGTTCCCAGTCCTTGTGGGACACAGCCATCTAATAAAGTGTGTTAAAGAATGATTTATTCAAATACCACTCGTTTTCCAGCCCTTTTGTGGTTTTACTGCTGAGGACAGCGGGCTTCGGTACTCCATTTTTCCTTTAGCGGCCATCTTGGTTTTGTTATGTTTTGAGCTCAAAGCAAATTACTTTCTTTGACGACTTCTTCCTGCCTTTTCAACTGTTCTGGTATCGAGAACACAGTGTACATGCACATGTTTTCCTCCGCTCTCGGTGATCAGTAAATTGAAACTAATGCTAACGGATCAAACTAAGAGGTCCCATCCTTTTTCCTTTTTGGGCAAGCAAAACTTCCTGTTTGATTACCCTGATGATTTCTTCATTGCAGATGGTTAATACTTTGGCATTGATGCTTTCTCCAGAGGAGCGCAAGCGGTCGCGGTATGCAGTAGATACATTTTCTAATGACAGCAGTGACTTTTATGACTCCGATTTATACGTGCAGGGCTTGTTAAAGGTACGTGTGCTTATTGCACTTAAAGGACACGCCATTGCGATTGCAGGGTTGTTGCTGAGCGCCGGCAACGAGCGAAATTTACCGGCGAAGAAAAAAGGCAACCGCCTGCTGGATTTTGGCTGGTAATCGCTCGAAAGAAGATGAGTCTTGATTTTTGTACGGTTTAAGTGAAAAAAATATACCTTGCCGTTTGAAAACAAAAAGGCGAAAATAAATACCCAAGTACATCTAAGCCGCAGAATTATTAAAGATGAAATGAAGTATTGCTTTGAATTCACTGATCTTAACTGGTCTATAATGTCTCTCTCTATTTCGCATCGCCATTTTGTAAACTCAAAGCTTGGTAAACCCGCGGACAAGATGTTGCAAACGACTGGACGCAGTCGGCTGGTTGGCTTTCTCAACCAGCAGGTCATTTTTTCAGTTACAACCCTCGATTTTTGTATGTATTAAATGCATTCAAAATTTTTCTTTTCGTGCCTCAGAGTTCCAAAGAGCTGTTTGGTCTACCAGTGAAAGGCATTATCACCAGTAGCCTGCCCAGTACTCTGGTTGACATGGATACGATGGAAGTCAAACAGACGTGCCCCTTTAACGAGCACATCATCATCCGCCGAGAGTTTATTAACATTGAGTTAGCACTTTTGTCCGAAGAAGCAGAGGATGCACCTGTTTTCCCGGAATTGTAAGTTCCATAGTAGAAAGTACTGAAAGTGGCCTTAGAAATGTCTGTTGTGACTCGTAGAGATGTTTTCGATTGAGCGCCAAAAATAATCTATGATTGTTTTGGTTTTGCTAAACTTCGCTCTGTGATTGGGTCAGACAGAGGAACAGGCGCCCTGAAGCACTTTAATGGATTTTCGGACCCCAACCCCCTCCCCCCTTCAGCGCTCGAATGCGTTTTTGGACCCCGACCCCTTCCCCCTCGCAGCGCTCGAATGCATTTTTGGACCCCAACTCCCCCCTCCCACCCCCTGCAGCGCTCGAATGTATTTTCAGACACAACCCCCCTGCAATGCTTGTATGCATTCCCGGACCCCAACCGTCCCTCCCCTTTCCAAACCCAACTGCCAAGCCCTGGATGAAAATTATTAGAATTTTTGTTTAATTCTTTTGTTTATTCCAATATTATTTTTGGGTGTGGTAGGAGTATATTCCTTTGTTTTCTCTTTGTTGCAGGGGTTTGCTCCATAACTCGGAAGAAATCGGTCTCTTGGTACAAACATTCCTGCATGACGTAAGTATTCTGTTCATCGAGAACAAGTGTTCTTGTGTTATTCTTGGTAGGTGAGTGCGCGACACTAACGGTAGCCAAGTAGCTAGAGACCAGTAGAAATACAGTTTTGGCGAGTGGTTTTCGATTTCCACTAGCCAGTTTGCCTAGTAAACAAACTCAAATTCTCGTAACATCTTGCCACTCGGCTAGTAAGTTGAAAAGTTGGTGTCAAGCCCTGTTGGTTAACTTCTAAGTCGTCCTCGGGAAAATTACACTCAGCTCATCCAGTACAAAAGATGTTATTCAAATTTCTGGAGTTCATAGACAGAGTTAAGTCTTTTACCCAAGTTGTGTCACCCCTCGATATTACTGCGATCCACTTTTGGACAAAAGTCTTCAACATATTCCCCCATCTACTTCCCAACACAATATTTGGGCATGGAGGGTTACTGTTGGGTTTGGGAGGGGATACTGCCATCAACTATTACTGTTTGCGTATTTTGTGCACACGTTGCACCAATCACATTTCAAATATCGTGAGTTCTCCTTCTTTCCAGATCCAAATTCTTCCGTATGTTTGTGGTGTTCGTGAAGGATTCATTGACAACTTTTTACGACTTCTCGACCGAAAAGGTCTCGCGCTCATCAAATACCTGGAAACACAATCGTATGTATGGCCCCTTTAATCTAATACCTTCACTACCTCACCGAACTGAACTGACGAAAAATTGTCATTTAATGTCAGCATCCGAGTCGGCACCCACACTCCGTTAATCCAGCTTTAGCCCTTCCTGGATATCAGTTGACTGTTGTTGTATGGGGTGGGGAAGGGGTAGATGCGTAATTGCTCAAAAACTGTTATCGATCAATTTTGTAAATGCTTTAGATGCGATAACTCCAACACCGTTATAAAGATCCGAGCGTTTGATCATAAAAACACTTCTACCGTAAGTTATCAATAATGAGTATTGCAATTTCTTAGGAACGATAGCGAGGTGATTATTACTGATACAACTGATCAGCCATTAAAATTTCTGATGTGTTGTGCATGAAAGATAACCCACCCCTCCCGTCAATCATATCATAAACCCCTCCCCCACGTAAAAGCCTGAACCGAGGGTTTCTTTTGCCGGGGGTCAAAAATTCTCCTTCAACTTTTGTTCGGAAAGCTCCCACGGCCCCCAAACAGGTTTCAGGTGGTTAGAACTATGTTGGAATTCCTATACTAGTAAATTCTTCCACTCCCAAGTTTTCATTTGAAATTACCTTTTAATCTCCGCGTAACTTTTATCATTTACTTAATATCAAGCTATTGTGCCTAGTGGTAGAAATGGGTTAAGGTCTTCCTACCTACCTCTTCAAACTATACAACGATTTTTTATTGAATTGAATTCGAACAGATTCCTTCCTCGCACTTAGCATGTGGCTTTTTAGCTCTAGCCTATTCCCAGCTTTCAGTTAGTAAAGCGAAGCGCGATGATGAACTGCGTTAGTGAAAATAGGAGGGAGGTCTGGGTCGGGTTTTTGTCACGCGACTGGACCAAAACCTCTCTTGTTTTCGCTCTGACACTGTGGATTGCGGCGTTTACCACTTTGCTCCGTTTTACCAACTGAACGCGTTGAACAGGCTATTCAGCTCAGATATTAGTGGCGCACATCTATTATTTGAAGTTGTTCAGTCCCCATCGAAGCCTGGCAAGTACCTTTAACCTTTCTAAATCATGCTTCAGGACATTTGGTACGATGCCACTTAATGACGCAGCTAAGCGGCAGTTACGTCAGGACTTACAGCTGGCAACTGAAGCTGATTACTCCATTGTCTTGACACGGGCAGAGAAATTACATCCGGG